TACGCTGAAAACAATGGTGCAATCGGATTTTAAATTGGTCAAAAAATGACAAAGTTATGGCAAAAAGTTTGAAAAAACGTATTTCGTTTGTTTCGCTTTTAACTTCAATAATTTGCTTCTTCGCTAAATTAAACATTAATAATTCTGTCATTGTTTGTCAAACTCGCTTCAAAATGAACCGAAGAGCACATTTTTCCGATCAACAGCGAGTTGATATGTATGACTGCTTTATGTTAGTGGTGGTATTGCACAAGAGAGTTGTTGAAGTTGTTTAAAATACGACTAGGTTAATATTAAATTATTTATTGATTTATTTGTCTTCTGCAATTTACACAATTTAAAAAAAATTACTAATAATCCACTGGATTAAAAAAGAACTGCATACTTAATCACCATATTATATATTGCGGTTCAAACTAATCTGCAGAAAAACTGAAGTTTGAAATATATTTTTGGCTCAAACTGTCACTGCACTTGATTTTGTTTTTCGTAAATTTACCACATGGTTAAAAAATGAATTATTGATTGTTAATTGATTATCCAATTATCATTTATAGGGGAATCATTTATAAAATCTTGACATATGCAATGTGATCTTTGTTAAATATCGATTAAAAAGGGGCAGAGCTAGTGATGACATAATTGCTTTTGACGTATTTATAACGTTTAAATCAAAAATTTAACCAATCCTACTATCTGATAGTATTGCACAATTTGATATGATATGAATGTTATATCACTTCTCCCATATATTAAACCTAGCATTTTTTTTCTTGAGATAAGGTTTTTTTTTGTAAATCAGAGATAATAAAGACAGCTTTGAATGGTTTGTAATATTTTTGTTTTGTTTTGTTTACCTTTTAGGATGAACCATTCTTAGAGACTACTGTTATTAGTATTGGCATGTCCACAAGTTTTTTTAAATTTTAAAACAAAGATTGATTTTTCATTTTCCATTAACATAATAACAGTTTTATTTATTATATTATACTTTTTTTATTTATACTTTTACTTTAGACACCTTGATCTCCGAGGAACATCGAGTACTTGAGCACGAATGTTATGATATATTGCATGTCTGTATTTATTGGTTTGAAGGAAAAGGGTGAATGAGAAACATTTCTTGTATGTGTGCCCTAAGTGAAATTAATTTTTTAGTGTGCAAGTAGATTCATATTCTGTTCTAGAATTCTCTCTAGAATTCTATCAAATATTCTGAGATGTTGTGAATGAATTTTGGTGTGTGAATTTAATTTAATAGCATAATGGAAAGACGTCTTCCCTTGATTGCTCCAAGGAATATTGACTACTCTGGGGTGGTAGGAATGAATTCTGGTAGTGACTGTAATTTATTAGCATAATGGAAAGATTTTTTCCCTCGATCACTCCAAGGAATAGCAACTACTCTGGGGTGGTGTGAATGAATTCTGGTGGTGAATGTAATTTATTAGCGTGAATAGAGAAGTTTCCTACAAATTAATTGGTCATTCCCAGGAAAAACATGAAAGAAATTGGCCGGCAATGACCACATTAGTTTCCCAGCAGCCCTGAAACTGCCATTAAAATTACACTTTGGACAGTATTATTTACACACACAGTTTTGAGATTTTATTTCTTTCATATTAATCTAGAGAGTTTCTTTTAATACTATGTTCAACCCGTAAGAAAATTTATATACAATACTCATGTACATTTAAATTTGTAGATGAAAAAATTATTTTCTTTTTTTAACGTGGAAATGTATTTTTACCATTTTCACTTTACTGGTGAGTGAACATGGGTGTTACGTTAAAAGGTAGGGTGAGTAAGACTATCAATAATTAATTGCTTTTCTGTAAAATGAAGATGGCATTTATCTATGAAGATGGCCAGTTTTAAATGTACATATTATCACTTAGATTCACAAAACCTGAATTAATACTATCATAGTGCCAAAAGCGATAAAATTAATTATTTTTATCTTACTATGATATCATGCTATGATCATATTTGATACAATTATCGATACACGCTCATTAGCTCACTATCTAATGAGCATATTCTCATAATTCAATTTTACAGCAGATGTATATAAAAAGCTTTCTTAACTATTCCACTATAACGATAACACTAACCATTCTTAGCAGTCCAACCAATTAAAACTGGAGAATGATTTTAAGGTGTTTACTACATTTTAATATATTCATGTTAATTTATTTACTATATTAAAAATAATTAATACACACATTAAAGTTTAATTCAGGGTCAAAAATGAAAAAAAACCTTCCAAATTGATTATCACCACTGGTTTTTAGATCAAAATGTCATCTAGATCTCATGACATATTCTAATCATCACACCACCTCACAAATATGGTTGTTACTATATTTTAATGTACAGTAATTATTTATTAATTAATAAACATTAAGAAATGGTTATTATATTTATTTGTTTCATTTATTTTTAATATTTTTATACATTTTTAATTTTATACACACAAAATTTGAGATAGATTTTGTGTATATAAAATTAAAAAGTTTAAATGGGATTTGAACCTATGGACTTCAGGCTGTACCCTAATGCTATCAAATTCCATGCATATAAAATTAAATATTAGTACAATTTTTATTGATTAATAGACCTAATAGTACTTACGTATTAAAGAGGACAACATGGCACTAGTGGTTAAGGGGATGGACTCCTATTTGCTATGTAGCGGTTCGAAGTTCGAATCCTACTATGGGAAATAGTCTACTTAATTGATCATAATATGTCCGTGACACCCAACCAAACTTCTAAAAATTACTTCTTCCTTATAAACAACAACTACAGGGTAAAGAAAGATCCAGTCAAATTCCTTTTCTAGGATGGATGATCATACTGAAAGAATCAGTCAATTCAAGTATGTATCTTGTTCTGACTTATTGAATTTTTTTTTCAAGCATAGCCCTTATGCCACGAGCAAAACATACATTGACATTCAAAGCAGAAAGATGAGAGTCCATCCAAGCAACCTATTTCTATTTCATGCTGAACCACCAGGAACTGTTTATTCTTTCTCAGTTTCTCACTGATGATGGTGCAATAACGAAACACATTTGAGGAATTTCACAAATTTGTGAGTGAAGACAGGCCCAATAAGTGACACAAGTTTCGGTGATTCAGCATATGAGTTCACTGACTTGCAGACACCCATTATCAACTCTATTTCTATTTATTTTACTTTAAAATTAATATAATATTAAATTAATTAATATTAAATAAATCACTTTTATTTGTTTAAATAATAAACAGTGATACTTAAAACATAAGAAAAATAACTGAAAGGAACATTTATCCCGCACACAAATATCACTGTATCAATAACAATTACCCTAATCTAAAATTTATAAATACAAATTCTATGGGTGTTCACCCGTAATTATTAAGTATTAATTAGAAATGCTATTTACAGACTTGTATCAATTAATTCACAAAATAGAGAGTTACTAATTCGAATTAGGACTCAAGTTGGCATTCAACTATACAACTGCTTTCACACGGCTAATTAAGACTGTATGAATAATTATATGATATTATCCCATTATACAAACTCAACTATTTAAAATGTAAAGTATAAGAGTTTAAAAATTACTAATAAAATTAAAGAATAAAATAAAGCTAATATGGTTGGGTATGAGTTTTCCTGTAGTGTTTGTTCGTTTGGTACATTCTGGTAATATCAGATAAAACATATTCTTAATGATTTCTACGTGGTCACTCATTTGCCTAATTATTTAGATTTAATTATGGATGTGTGTCTAATCAATAGTGTTTTTATTAGATGCGACCTAAGTATGAGTGATAAAAGTTTAATAATATGTTTCAATGGATGTTCTGTCACTGAATTATTGGTTTCTAAATCTCCATTTATGCTAATCCTATATTAGTTACAATTCAAAGATTGGAATTTAATTGAGAAACACAATAGCTCATAATGAATGTGAGAAGCAGGAAAGATAAAAAATTAAAAAATGAACAAAGCCCAGTGATTTGGATAGGACAATATGTTCCATTCTCAAACGTCTTTTTTTTTAATTTGTAGCCATTTGTGTAGTAAATGGATATTCTAAACTGTTAGCCTATTGTTGGTACCTCAGGTTGTCAACTAGTCAATTATTGTATGTGTACAATTTTGTCCATCTGTAATAAGTTGAACCTATGTACCTATGACAAACCTATGTACCTACGACATCTTACAGATAACCAGCAATTCCTGCTTTTGTGCATTTTACAATCAATTTGCTGGCAAGACACGAGAATCACCCGCCTTGGGTTTTGGCAGTTCAAGGAAAGACCTTGGTTTTATCTGTGTGACCACATAAGTTAAAATCCAGGGGCTGTCTGTTTTGTCCCCCAATACATCAGTTTTTAAATCTAAATCCACTTGCTCTTAACATTATTATAATAATGTTATTATTAACATACCTTTACACATTAGAAACATACCTTTCACTCGTGATGCATATCCCATATTCCTCCATCACTTTTTACACAGATTATATTCCTATTCCACCATCAACTCTCCCACGCTACACAATCATACTAATAAATAAATTCACTCTCAATATACACAAGTGGGAACACACAACGATATATCTATCAGTACCGTATAGAGTAAAAAAAAGTATAGAGTATAGAGTAAAAGTATAGTAAAAATAATAAAATAATAGTATAGAGTAAAAACAAAAACAGGGGTAATAAATTTGATTTGTGTTTTATGTTTATTTATTTGCCACTAAAGAACGCTCCGGTTTTGACCTAATCATTGCAAAAACATTTGAACCTACCTAAAAAAGCTTGTAGCTGAACTCACCCACTTTTACAATTCTGTTGCGGTAATACACAACAGTGGCTACAAATGAGTAATACAATAATACTACTATCAAATTTAATTAAGTACAGCAATTGGTGCAGGTGTAAATAAATAAATTAATAATAATAATAATCAAGTATTTATATTATTTTGTATACTGTTTCAGGTAGCAAGATGTGGACTAAGGTTAGCAAACCACAATTCTACTAATATGCTCAAAACGGTAGCGAAAATGTCGAGTGTCAGTGAATTCCCTCCACCTTTGACAACTCTAACAGACGAGGAACTTATGATGAAAGACACAGGTATATATTTATACATAGAATAGAACATTTGCATTGATTCTTTTTTCCTATACAAAATTGTAGTCGTTTTTACCTTTGGTTGCCTGAGATTATTCACCATATCAAACAGCAACAATTAATTTTAATGCTATACATTTTTATGCATTTAAAAAAATAAACCAGGTTAAATTCTGTTTTTTGCAATCAATTTAGTTTCTAGATTCGCTACAGAGAAAATAACTCCAGTTGTAAAGCAGATGGATGATGATGGAAGGTTTCTACCAGAAATTGTTCAGGGATTGTTTGAAAATGGAGTTAGTATTAATTTTTTTCCCCAAGTTATTATACTAAGTGATTTCTTTTGTACATATTTATTTTCCTCATTTGTCTTCTATGGAATAAAAAAATTCCTAATTTTCTATGCAGATAGTTGTCTGATTTTCAAGCCCACTTTTCAGTAAAAGATTTATTTTTGTTATTACAGTCAAACATCCATTAGCTCAGAAACATTATAAATAAACGTGAGTTCAAACCTGTTTTGGTTTTATTTTTCACTGGCTAAAACCATTTGGCATTCTAACAATATCTATTTTTTACTTGATACTTCTGTACGAGTGATTACTAACATAATTTCAATTAATAAAATTGTAAGAGGGATGTTACTTCCCTTGAAGACAAAAAACCGACAACTCGTATTTTGTTGTTTATTTCAAATTATATGTATATTTATTGGTATTATCATTATTATTTTAATGTAAACAAATTAAATGAGATAAGAAATTCATGAGTTTTAATATAAAAGATATTTAATTATGATGGTTTATATTAAATGACATTCTGGTGTTTTGGTGAATTTTGAATCAAGCCATCATAATTAAATAAATTTGATTAAAATTGCTAATCTCGTTTAATTTGGTTTACATCACAATCAATAAGTTGCAAGAAATACAATGGTAAAAATACTTATAGTTTGAAATAAACAGCAAAATGTGAATATACTCTTTTTTTCTTTAAATATATAATGATGATTGTTTGACCTTGTTATCTTTCATTATATTGTAATTAATTTACTGTTGAATTAAATTTGAATAAATAATAGTGTGTCTAAAGCTAACGTGATTTCCTTGTTAAGAAAACCTTTTAAATGATATTAACCAATTGTTTTTAACTATAATACTGCAAAATATTTATGCTTACAAGTGTCACAATTTTGAATTACATTTTTTATCTTTTAAGCTTATGGGAGTAGAAATCAGCTCGGAATATGGTGGGACTGAAGCATCGTTCTTTTCTACAATCCTTGTTATAGAAGAAATAGCAAAGGCCGACCCCGCATTAGCACTTCTTGTGGCTTTACAGAATACTTTAATTAACAGCTTAATTATAAAGTTAGGCACCCCAGAACAAAAAGAGAAATATTTGACCAGACTTGCAACAGACACTGTGAGTGTTAAATGTTTTTGACGATACAATTTTGTATTGTAAAATGTTTTCTGTAAGGTTGGAAGTTTTTGTTTGACTGAACCACTTTCTGGCTCAGATGCATTTGCTCTAAAAACAGTCGCCAAAGAAGATGGCGACCACTACCTTTTAACAGGATCAAAAATGTGGATTTCAAATTCAGACTACGCAGAAATATTCATCGTCATGGCAAATGCGGACCCATCAAAAGTATATTAAAAAATTGCCTTTATGAAACCAATTTTACTAAAAACTTTTGTACACAGGGTCACCGTGGAATCACATGCTTCATAGTCGAAAAAGACATGCCTGGTTTCACTATTGGGAAATTGGAAAAGAAGCTAGGAATCAAAGCGTCAGGGACCTGTATGCTGCATTTTGATGGTGTCAAAGTAAGCAGGTAAAATTATAACTGTACACTGACGCACGATTACATGATAATTTGATGCAGGTCCCCAAGGAGAACATATTAGGAGAATTTGGAAAAGGTTACAAATACGCAGCTGCTTTTTTAAATGAAGGCCGAATCGGAATCGGAGCACAAATGTTGGGGCTAATGCAAGGATGTTTTGATGCGACAATACCATACACTTTGGAAAGAAAACAGTTCGGTACACCTATTTTTGAAAATCAAGTAAGCAAATTACATCTATAACACATCTTTTTATTTTTTATTTGTCAAATGGGCCTACATGAAAAATGAGTGCATGAACCTTTCAGCATACAAAAAAAAAATGACAATAATTATGATCAAAAACCTATTTTGTTTTATCTGCAACTTGTAAGATGTAATTTTTGACCATTCTGACTGCATAACAATATAAAAATAGAAAAACTCACATATTTTCCTTGGTCCACAGAAAAACATGGAATCATCGATGTGCAACCTAAAGTTTAATTTTTCTATAACCCAAACTTCCCTAAGATTAACATGATTACAAACATATTTTGTTTTATCTGGAACTTTTAAGAATTAATTTTTGATCATTTTGATGGAATAATAGCATAAAAATAGAAATATAACTCCCACTTCCCTACATTGAAAAATTTCAAGTCATGGATATATCCTAACCTCTACCTTCTATAACCCTAACCTTCCCTAAGCCTAACCTTAACATAACCATGAAGATAAATGTATTTGTACTTAAATTACAAACATGTTGAGTTTTTTGTTTGTTTCAAATTGTGCTGAGGTCAGAGAAATGAAGAATGTGTTGTCGTGTTGTTCATGGTCATCCTGGTTTGCCTATTCTTCCTAGTTTTGTTTTCCAGACTATTCCAGTAGTTTTCCATCTTAAGCGGTTGGTAGAAAAGAAGATTTTTTTTATGCTTAAACATACAGGGTGGCAAAAATGCTGAATTATGCACTAGCAAAACTCCTTGCACTGGTTTCAACTATCTTCAAAGCTGTGTACAATCCAACTCTGTGTACAGAATTTGGTAAAGAAGAAAATGAAGGGTGTAAGGATCTTTTAGAAAGTCTGGCTGCTATAAAAGTGCTAAGTGCTTACGCTTTTAGCTATAAGCTGTGTAAATTGCCTAATGAACCTAGGAGATTACAAGATTACCTTGAGGTGGGCTCGGGGAAATGAAGGTTTAGCAAGAAATAAACGGGCTGACCAACTAGCATAAAAAGGGGTGGCTTAACCATGGAACCAGAACCACAACTAGGTACACCGAAGAGTGAGCGAAAGTGGGAGCTGGAAAATGGCTTGAGAAAGAAAACTCAAGCACTGGACCAAAGCACCAGTCATTAAGCAAGCTAAGAGATTCGCAAATCTTTCAGATAGGAAGGTGAAGGAACACGAGAGTACAAAAGTGAGGCACTAGCCCATTACAACCACTTTGGTAAGACAATTCTCACACCATGAGTTTGAGAATAGCACAAGGCACTGAGGAAAGTAAAAAAAAAATCCAGGGTGATCAGGGACAAACTTGTGATTGGATTAATAACATTAGCATAAAATATGTGAGAGTTTTAGTTCATACATGTGATATGCTTATAGCTATAATTTGGTGTATTTTAGGGTATGCAACATCAAATAAGTGATGTCGCCGTGACAATCGAAGCAGCTAGGCTATTGGTTTATAATGCAGCCCGACTCCAACAAGCAGGCAAACCATTTATGAAAGAAGCATCTATGGCCAAGTATTACGCCTCAGGTATGACTTATGTTATAATATTAACAATGAACTTAAATCATGTTCCACTACTGTTTCCATTCTTTCTGTTAAGAGTACAGACCATTTTCAAAGATTTACAATAAAAGCTCCGCAGTCCATCAAGGCTCAATGTCACTTTCCATTTTGGTTGTTACTTGACTTTCCTAAATAGGAAAATTAGTCCTAAGATGATTTCCAAATTTATTGTTGATGCAAGTTGAAATTGTTAGAATTCAGAAGTACTAAAATGGGTTAACTTGAATGTAGAAAGGCTGTTGTGTTTGGATTCAGTCCTTTTTTTTCCATTTACCATTAACAATCACCCTATGTCCTTTTGTCCCACAGTCAAGAACCTTGGGATTGTTTTTAGGGAAGCCCTATATTTCCTGTCGCTATTTTTCCACCCTCCATCAGCTCTGAGAGTCTGAGCCAGTCTCCCCTTTAGTAATGTGTAAACTTCTTTTCTCCTTTATTCCCCACCACTACGATTATGCATGTTGTGTACAGGGACTCACTGGAGATGAGCTTAATGCCTAACTATTATTATTTATTTATTTTTGTACATTTTTATCTTTGGCTCTCCAGGGATCTCATGTGACTCCATGCACAGACATTCTTCCTACCACAGGTTTCTGAATCCTTTTCTTCCTGGGCTCCTTCCTCTTTCCCCTTTTCCGGGGATAAATATTGGATAAAAACATGTAAAGTTCATTAAATAACAAGCTATAAAATTGATTTTTTTTATTTCTTCAGAGGTGGCTCACCATGTAACCAGAAAATGTATTGACTGGATGGGCGGTGTCGGTTTCACGACGGATTTCCCACAGGAGAAATATTACAGAGACGCCAAAATTGGTACAATCTACGAAGGAACATCAAACATCCAATTGAACACAATAGCTAAAGTACTGAGGAAGGAATTCTCATAGCTGTGGTCGGTTGACTCGTAATAAAACAACATATAGCCGTAATTTTATATAATCCTTTATTTTGTTTTGCCCACAGATTTTTAAGAAACTACTTTGCAGAATATGAAAGTCTACAGGATATTGTTGAATCTTCATAATATAAGTGCCAAAAATCTATTTTTGATATACTGATACAACCAAGTTGTAAAAAAAATGATATTGCAATAAAGTATATACATTTTTACTCCTCTACTTTTTTATCCCATAAAAATAATAACAATTTTTAAAGTTAAACTCATACTTTGCACTTGCATGTTTTCACTCCTTCATAGAAAAATATTGAATCATGGGTATATAACCTAACTTGGCCCTCCTTTTTTTTTTTTGAAGGATTTCTACAACCTGACGATGAGCTAAGCGCTCAAAATCAGGATCGTTGGAAAACAACTTAATGTGAGTAAGAACTATCTTTTTAAAAAAGGATTGAATATCGCACTCAATCCATCATTCACCATTTCTATTAACTTGTCCTTTATCTATAACCTAACTCAACCCCATGTGCACTCCCTGTAACATGAAAAAATAGTGTATCTAGCCAAAAAACACAGATAAATTCTTATTTACAAAAAAATTTGATAATCTTCTAGAAACACTATATCCTAAATATGTACACATGGATTAAAATCTGTCTTTCAAGAGGATGTTGTCGAAGTCATAGAAAAACACGGACCTAACCTAAAAGTAAGCCTAACTTAATCCATGTTAATTTACTCAAAATCTACCTATTCATTCTGAAGCTGAAACCAAAGAATTGTTTTAATTTTAATATTTATATTTTAAATAAAGAGCTACTGATTTCCACTCAAGTCAGATACTTAGGACTAGATCTAGAATCCTTACACAAGACTTAAGACAACTTCATAGAAGACTTGGACAAATGTAAAAACTTTTAGGACTGAAATTTTTTTGAACTTCAAGATTTCACTCTACTATTACTGTGACCACTCTGGATGGAGTGGAACTGTGGGGTTCCGCCAAGCGCCATTCAGTCCTTCTAATCAAAAGTCCTCAGACAAATTGTCAGAGATCCTTACATAGTTTGTCAACAACATTTTCACTCACGAACACTCTCGATGAAGGTATGGTTTTCAAGAAAAAAACACTCAGTTGTTACTGCCAATTTTTCAGCCTATTTTAACAATTTGATATCTGTTTCAAGCCCTGGGCAATGTTAGGACTGAGTCGGTTTTCAAGGAAATTTGAGATCGCCTGTAAAAAACTTAAAAATGTCAATCTGTAATTTAAGATTTTTTTGTATAGTTAAATATGTCAAAAGCTTGGCAGTAGCAACTGAATTTGCTTTTCTCTTCAAGACATTTATGCAGAGTGTTCATGAGAAAGCTCCTTATGTCACTGACCTCAATGAACAGATCCAATCTCATTTTTAAAATTTCCACTCTAAGCTTTCGATCCATTCTAACCCTCACCCAAGCTTTTTCAACTTTCCCATCACCTTAAATGATGATGTCCTCGAGACTTCCTCACCTTTTAATCCCTCATCAAGTGCCAGCTTTGGCAGGTTTCTGTTAACATGTGTTGTGTGAACAGTGCTGGCCATTATGTATTGACTTGTGTAGAAAAAAAACAACATCTATATGGCATATACAGAATGAATTATATTATTTTATATCACCTATTATTGTAAGATTTCCTCTTAAGGTCTGTGGAGTGCCAATCAATTTCGTCTGCCTATATGTGCCATTTTTGGTCTGTGAGACACGTTTCAAGATTTTTAGTTTTCTATATATTCTTTTACTTTTTGCAATATTTGCATGCACAATGTTTGTGCTTACACCGACGTAGTAGAGAAGATGGCGAGAAGCTAAAAAAAACAAAAATGGGCAGTGTGGTTACCACCTGTAGGTAGTTACCACGACACCTGATAGGTGCCATTAGTGGTTATGGAACAGTCTCGACCTCAACTCTGCAGCCAATCAGAGTAGAGCAGGGGCACTGCCGCACTGACAGCAGACTCATCTCCCCGACGAGGTCTCACTTCACACCTCGAGACTCGTCTTCCCGTCGAGATCTCACTTCCCACCTCGAGACTCGTCTATTCGACGAGATCTCACTTCACACCTCGAGACTCGTTTACCCGACGAGCTCTCCCCAATCACTAATGGAACACCAACATCGACAACAGCAAGAGTACCCGCCTTCTGAACACAGCCGACTTGGCTATACTGGTCAACTGCTGCACCCGAGTCCCTTCAACCGCTGCAGAGTCAACCAACTCATGGCCCCCGGACCTCAGCCAACAGTTCTCTTGGTCATAGACCACTACCAACAGCATACACACGGTCCTGGCCTTGATTCATCATCTCAACGCTAGGCAGATTAAATTGTCAAAAAAAGATGAACATCCAACTCTCTTCAGGTGTTGTGGATGAGGCATTAAAAAATAAATAAGTAAAGTAACCTACAATGGGAATTGAACCGACAACCATGTGTTCTATGACCAACAAAGATACCTAAAACCCACTCATCGGCCACTGTGGTTCTCATTAAAAACATAAATTTAAAAAATTAATTAAATAAATAAATTTCTTCTGTACAGGAGGGCTTATTATCCAAGACTTTTTTCATTGAAGGCAGGGATTTGAACCCAGAACCACTTGCGTGGCAAATACAAGTTGGATGCCCTAACTACTCGGCCACTGCATCCTCCACCACCTTACATTACCCATTAATTAATTAATATTTATGGTTTTTATATTATGTTATCTAGTTTCTAGGGAGAGAGGTAGTTATAACAATACATACAAGAATAATTAACAAACAATATATTTTGCTTACTAACAAGTTTATAACAAACTTTTGAAATGTGCCATTAGGTCTGAAGAAGTTGGCCTTTTGCTTGCATCTTGATTTTTACATTTCTTATGAATGCTATAAAACGAATACTGTAAACTATTAAATTCAATACTTCCTTTGAAAAAATATTCGCAAACATTTGGAAACTTATACACGTCTGATTTATCGGTGTACTCAAATAAACTTTTCGATTTACGCCTTGAATTGGTATTTTGGTCAGACAATATTTCATGACCGCAGTTCACCGATTTATTGGTGATTTCTGGCAATGCATCCAAGTCGTTGAGAATCAATGAAATATCGGACTTGATTAGAAATTGACTTAAGAGCTTTTTCATTCCGTTTGAATCGCAATTCACTCTGATTCCCACTGGGCTATTGTGTAAATAATTTAGTATTTGTGCATAGTTTAAACACAACTGTAACCCTAAACGTGTTCTATCAGTTCTGTTTTCCAATAAATAAAGGATATTGTTGGCGTTATTGTAAGGATGGTATTCTGTTAAAATTATATTTTCCCGCTCGCAGTACCCCACAAGCTGTACAAGGAATTTACTGGGGTTTAACATTTTTAGCATTTTCAATCCTTCATTAAAATCTTGAGAGTATGTTTTGTTTTTTAATATAGAATAAGCCAATTGAACATTGCCCCAATTAGCGAGAAAAACATGTTTAACAGCTCCATAACCAATAGTTTTGTTTAAAGTAATTTGAGGTAAATCAGCACATGTTAATAGTGGATGACAATCAGACATGCCGTTGACTTTGAAATAATTTTTTTCACAAAAATTTTCATAATTACAAATGACTAAATGTATTAAAAAATTAACCAGAAACAACACTAAACTCATTTTGGGTCCTGGGGAAGTTTAAATCCCAACATACTGGCAGTGTCTGTAACAGTACGTTCTCCGTTTTGGCCGTAGATCTTAAGAAGCTCGCCGTATTTTCTCTGGCTGTGTAGATAATTGGCATAAGAATCTAGTAAAAATTTCATTTCATCCTTCGCTCTACATTCTTGCAACTCGGTGACTTGGAATCGCCTTGCTTGGCTAAATAAGTAGGTGACCAAATTGTGCTCTCTTAGCTTCTTTGCAGTGCTTACTTTCCTCAGTTCCGATATTAAAAACCTTATGGTTTTTAAAGTCGGGTTAAATTTTAGGGACATGATACTCCTGCTATTTCTTCTTATCAGAATCGGCAGATATCATATCAGAATTGGCATCACTTTTCTATTTTCTGAAAAGAAACAATTTTTGTACTAGGGTTAGAATTGGCAATTTTCAGTTACAGAGTAAGTAAAAATAAAGCTGCTCCAGGTATAAGGTTGTCAGTGGTATATATTGTAGATTTTGATGAAGATTTTTCTGTCTCTTCATTGATATTCTTGTTAAAATAGTTTTTGAATGGGGGAACCTGGAGCTGCTTCCCGTTGACTAACTTAACTCTAATTAATAGATAAATAAATGTTACAATTAAAGAAACAACAAAATGATAATAGTCCTTGGACTGTCAAAATATTGACATAAAGAACCCAAGATTGAAAAATAAATAAACCGGTTTTTTTAAATATGTAAAGACAATTTTCATTCCCATTATGATCTATCTCAGGTCAGACTTATTGAACGTTAATTAACAAGATAAAGAACGATAAATTAAGTTTCATATAATGTCTCAAAAATCATAAGCTATTGGCTTTTTTCAAGTTTTGAAATTATCACAGACAATTAGGAAAAAAATTACCTTTAATAGAGCTAATGTTGTTTGATGCTTAATCCCGTATCAATAAGTATTATTGTCATACAAAAGAGCTTAACGTCCAACCTATTGGGTGTTGCAGACAAGGGGGTCAAACCACTTTACAATACTTTTTTCATATTACTATTAATTTAAAATTACAAGGGTTATGACGGGGTTCAAACAAAGAACCGCTAGCATGGCAAATACTACTCGTACGCCCTAACTACTCGATGACTGCAATCCCCTGTTGTCCTAAATGTGTGTACAAGATTATTTTATACATTAAACATGCAGGTCATACATAAATATGTCATAAATTGAATATTGATAAACAGCTCCTGCAGTTTGCACTACATACAGCTGAAATTTCCTGAGATGGAACTTGGCTTGCTATGTCGATGTTTTAAATCTGTGGACAATTAGATGAGCTAGGATTGGGTCGCCCCTCAATTACTGATGGTGGCTAAATTTCTCATAAGTGTAAGCTTTAATCGCTAACATAAACATTAAAAAAAAGTTTCCCAAATATCTGACTAAGATCACGTTGTTGAGAGTAGTAAAAAGTAGCAGTAAAAATCATCACCTTAAGTACATTAATTTTAAATAGTACTAATTCAAAATTTTAATATGCCACTGTACATTCTTATTGAAGTATGTTAGGATTTTGAAATTTGGAGCTTATTGATAATCTCGGTCTGTTTATCCATTTCGTGGTTTGTGTTTGACAATTATTAATGTCATGCTGAACCGGCATTGGGTTTGAGTCTGTCCTCACTCGTGGGTTTTTTGAATTATTCAAATACGTTTCAGCATTGCTCCATTTTCAGTGAGAAAAGACCCAATAAGTGGCCCTTATTTCAGCACGAGTTCAACGATAATGTGTCTGGCACACTGAAGATGGCAAAATGCTGAAAGGCATCTGACAGACCAACCAAGAGGATCAGTAAGGGTAAAATTACAGATTCATCACCCAGCAGACTACAGGAGGAAATCTTACATTAAATTTTGTTATAATGGAGTAAACAGTAAGGAAAGCCCTGTTGAAATATTTCAATCATTATATACAAAAACAAAAAACCTCTTTACTTTAAACAAGGTCTAGGGAAGATTTTAAGAACAAGATCCCAATTACCTGAAAATTGAAAGTAATGGCCATGGGCGAGTAAAAGCTGAAATCACTAAGGAAGGATCTGTCAGGGATTCCATGCGATTGATATAATTGAGTAAAATTTAGGGTTTCATGTAATCTGTAGCTTTTTTTTATCGTACATAAATAAAACGGACGTTGAAAAGTTAATTATTAATATGTGTGAAACACCCAATCATATCGCATCGGGCAGTGGAAACACCCAAACACTACGAATTGCATTGAAATCAGCATTTCCTTCAGCACCGCAGGCAGTGTAAATGCCATGTTTGCTTTTTATTGGGCTTATTATACTTAATGTGCATATGAGCCTGCAATAATCATAGCCATACCAAACCAATAAGACGCTTCTGTACAATATTCACATTTGACATGTACAAAATTAGGCAAAAATGGAAGGAGTCAGTGTCTTTTCTTGTCAGTCTCTTCCTTGAAACCTAAGTAGTATCGACACAGAAAAGGCTTAACAAGTAAAACAGTTTTGAGCAATAAATATATTCTTCCAAGATGTGTTGAACTGTCAGACGAATTTCGTCATCGAGGATAATAGGCAGGACAAAATGGTTTTAACTACCAATTTACATATTTTCATTAGTTCTCATAATAAATAGTTTACCTTTTATCCACTCGCTTGAAAATTAATGTGAAAGGCTCATGACAAACAAAAACAAATGAACTAAGATTGGTTGAAGGTAACAGATTCGGTAGGTTTCGTTTTACAAATTACAAATAGAAGCAGTGCTGCCAAAACATTCTTTTTTACTTTAATTAAACTTAATTAAATAATGAATTTTATTAGTTAGTTTCAAAAAGTATTTTCGTGAACTGGCATTTTCTCAAGCTTATTAATAATTTCAATGAATTATTCTTTTTATGTAAGGTCTTGGTTGAGATGAAAAAGTTAGTGTCACGAGCGGGATTTTAACCCACGACCATCGATTTATTAACAATTAATAATTATTAATTAATTGGTTAATTATTTCTAATAATTAATATGGTCAATTAGCCCACTAAACATAAATGGCTTATTAATAATGTATTACATCGTTTTCCTTCCATAATATTTTTTAAAAAATAGATTATAAAAGTGACCAACAGCTTTGTCATTTTCAGCCATAAAAAGCTTTCCGGCTGGGAAGTGTGTAGGTCGCAGTCCAAGAACCTGCCAGCAGAGGAAACCTGGGCCCCGGAAGATACATTTGTCCCTTAGACCCTTTCGTTTTAGTCTTGGTTTAGGACAGATCATTCAGAATAGGTGTGTGCAGGTGTGTGGGGCTGACCACACACCTCCTCATTCTGATGATCTCATAATGACCCGAGGATCCTAGCGTACCCCACCCTGCACATCAGACCACCACAGGATGGGCACCCAGGCTTCAGCCCCCGACAACAGCCAACCTCTGAGTAAAATACGGATTATTGAATAAAATAACTATTCATGTTGTATTAAATTATTTTTATTATTTTATTTTCATATTCCAGAAATTAGTNTTTTAAAGGAAATTTAGTAATTTATCTATTTGATCAGGGCCATCACAGAGTCTTTGTTGTGGGTTGGAATTTCCCACTAATGTCTCGCTCTTTCATATTTTTTGCAATTTGTCAAAATATAATTAACTGTTATCCTTTCCCTACAAACATCACAAACAAAGCAGAGTATCTTTTTTTACCATGAGATAAGAATGAGTTAGCCTAGCAATGACAATTTCTTCGTCTTGCCTGGAACCCCTAAGAGATATGGCCCAAGGTTTTATGCAGCCTTTTGTCTCCTAAGTTTGACATTGGAAGTCGCTTCCCATTCTTCCTGCCATAGTTACCAAGGCCTTCCTTTAGGCTAAGCTGTCACATTGGATTTAGGTGTTTTAGTAACTTATCTCCACTGCTTGGATTTTTTTTTCTTGAAAATCACAAAAATAGTGATAACATTGAAAGATTCCACCGATCCACAAGAAACTTTACGAGGCCTAAGAACACTATTTATTTTCAATTTTTTAAACAATGATTTGCAACAGCAGAGGTCATATTAACCCTCGGAGTGCAACAAACTACAAGTTAATTACCTCAATGGTCTAAAGGTGATATGGTTGAGTGTTGATCCTGTATGGTCATTACCTTGGTCAAGACCCAACAGTGAAGACGGTGAAATGCCAAAACGCGTTTGACAAACGAACCGAGCAAGGCTAGACAGACCAAGATCAGTAAGAAAAAAATTACATGTTTAAGTCTATTCAATGTTTTTATAAAGTCTAAGGAATATACAAACTGCTAAGATTGTAAAATTTATTTTGCTATCTTCTTACCTTGCAACAAATTTTTAAAAATATTATTCTTATAACAAATGTAAACATTTGGAATATTTCAGTACACTTTCTAAACTGTCTAAAAACATAACTATTAAAATAACTTAACTTTCTTTAATACCTTAAAATATGGTAACACATCCACATAGTATATATTTTCTAACAAAAACTAAATATTTACAAATATAACTTTAAAGAAAAAAGTAAATGGCTTTGGTTAATATTTGTCTCATTAAACACTTAAAAATGTGTTTAATTGTACAATCAGAAAATCTATTTCCCCCTCCAAGCTTGTTTGATCATATCTGACGCTTTTTCAGCTATCATATAAATAACTGCATGCGTATGAGAAGCTGGAATCACAGGCATGATTGATCCATCGACCACTCTCAGTCCTTGCACACCATACACTCTCAGTTGAGGATCCACGACAGCATCTGGATCGTTGTTCGGGCCCATTTTGCACGTGCCGACTTGGTGATGGAGGTTGGTTGTCAAATGCATCGCACAGCAACCCCAATACTCGTCGCTCATATACTCTAGATGTTCACATCCAGGGAACTTGGAATCGATAAGTTTACTGTTGAATTTTTGAAATGGCTTGCTCAGTCCTATCTCGAGAGCCTACAACAAACACAATGAAACAATATGAACAAAAGAAAAAAATCTTTAAAGATAATTAATTTTGAATATGTCTATAAATATAATTACAACCGTCATTTCTGCAAGAACATTATTAAAAATACATAATCATAAACATTTTAAGTGCTAAAGGGACAGACAGATTGAAGACGGTGAAATGCTGAAACACACCTAACTGGCCAACCCATCGAGTATAAGAAGTATATAACCAAAACGATCAATAACTATCAAATTGAAAATTATGTAATTGGGCTTAAATGAAGTTCGAAGTAAATGTCATATAAACCTGTTGATTGGTCCCATCTGATCATTATGGTCTGCCTATTCGTGCTGTTTTGGTCTATCAGAATTTCACCATCGTTTGGGTCTATCTTATTCAAATTTTTTTCTTATAAATCTTCGTGTTCTTTTTACCCATACAAGTGGTAAAATTAAAAAACCTCACTATATTAAATGTTGCTTCTCCTTCAGCCCATAATTTAACATATTATATATTAAAAAACAAAAAAATGTCCAGTGGAACAAAGTAATTTTGAAAGAAGTTAAAAATTCTGGGCAGACCAAGTAAACTAATGCCTGCCTGGTGTACCAGGCACTGAGACGATGAGCTATTTAAAAACTAACAACTTCTTGGGAGAGTAAAATAACTGAGTTGTAACAGACGAATGTCACCCTGAATTGAGCAACCTGCCAGAAAGTAGAGTCTTAACAGGGCTAATCGGTTCTGGTTTCCCCTGAGAGAATCGGCATGTTTTAGTTTTGAGTTAGCCCATCTGCTTTAGTTGGTAAACAAGAGGACAGTGGTCGGTATAGAGGACTAAAATTTTCCTCAACTCTCGTCTGCTGAGAAAGTTCCTTCGCCTTCACTTGTGAGAGATTTATGAATCTCTTAGCTTGCCTACCTTGTTGCTTTTGTCCAGTGCTTGAGTTTTTCTTTCAAAAGCCATTTTTCCAGTTACAATTTTAGCACAAAAAGTAGTTCACCTAGTTCTGGTTTCAGTGGAAAAGAGATAGATAGAATAGGGAGGAGAGAGAGAGAGAGAGAGAGAGAGAGAGAGAGAGAGAGTGAGAGAGAGAGTGAGTGAGTGTGAGAGAGAGAGAGAATGAGTGAGTGAGTGAGAGAGAGAGTGAGAGAGGAGAGAGAAAGGAGAAAGAGAGGGAGAGAAAGGAGAGAGAGTGAGGGAGAGAGACAGGCTGAAAGAAGGAAAAAGATGCACACCCCAAGAGAAAAAAAACCGACGAACAGAAACAAATAATAGGGGAAAACTCAGAAAAAGGGAGAGAAACATAAATACAATCAACTGCAAAGCAAACACTCAGGCTCACACGAAGAAAACAACATACAACACAACACAGACGCATATCACGGGCTTCATTGATAAAGACACTAAAAAAAGTCTCAATAATAAGTTTTATATATATTTAAAAAAAAGTAAGATTAGTAATTCTAAAATCGAACTGTTAATTTACGTATTATTATTTGTAACTTGTACAACTTATTATTATTTTGAAGGAGGGTTCGCAACAGCAGTCAAATTGTGCCGGATTTATACGAAGCTAGGAGGGCCTCAAACAATTAATTATTCAGGAAATTCTCAATTGTAATGAAATTAGTAAGTTTTCTTGATCATTAGTTTCAAAGATTTTTTTCCTGCATTTCGCATTCTTCAGTGTGTCCCTTTTACCACAACGCAGGCTACAGGATAGAATTTCACGATTTAACTGAATAAACTGACAAATCGTTTACCAATGAGGTAAAAATTTAAAATAGCGTGGTATCACGCCTCTTTATTGCCATCCAAATAAAATGTTTTCATAATTTGAGAAAAAAAAACAAGTTTGGCAATAATGTTTGTTTGACTTAAGTGTCGATAAACAACTTAGTTAATAAGTCACATGGGGTGAACTAGGCAGCCTCTGCCCCTCGTGTAAAAGGAGTTCATAACTGATTGAAGAGGTGAGAGAGCGAGCTCCTTTCTTGCTTTGTACGCCTAATCCAAATGGGCGTTTATTCCTCACGTTTACTTACGAAGGCGGTCGGGAAATTTACGCCGAGTTTTTTCTATTTTTGTTTTGGAAACGGAAACGTATTTATTAATCTTAATGTAATCTTCTCTCCAATTCTAGGACTCCTACCGTCTTAAACCAGGACGATATTTCTCCTAGTAAGTCAACTTAAGGAGATGGAAGTAGGAGCGGTATTTTTTCGGTTTTCAGTCGGGCCAGCTCTGCAGTCTCCCATTTTCTCCTGATCACCGGTGCGATGGGACGATGAGAAAGGGCTAAAACGAGCTTTTGTCGACGAAAAAAACAAGCAAACTTTTGTGTCCTGTTCAAAACTGCTCAAAACAACGAAAAGTCCAACTCAGAGAGTTTTTCAAAAAAACAGTACTCAAATGAAATTGAGTTTAATGCACTTTTATGCAATCTTCTAGCAAGTTCATGTTCTCTTGATTTATTATTTTAAATTACACATTTTTCCGACAAAGAACGAATTAACACGCAGTGAAGCAATAAAAAGAGAGCCTACACAAGTAGTTAATTCAAGACATCGCAACACTTTTTAAATGCCGGTTTTTCTTAAAAATAGTTGTTTCTTACTGAACCGTATTCTAAAAGAAAATTAGAACTCAACAGGAAATGAACGAGGAAAAAACTTTTCTCACAAATTTTTAATTAAATTATTTACTCCATTGCGCCTTTTATAAAAATCGTTAATTCATTCCATTCCATCCTTTAATGATTACTTTAACGAAAATAAAACACAAAAAACACAACTATGAAATATTACAGGCTTGAGCGTGGGTGGTTTGCAAACTTCAAAGTTAGCGAGGGTCTAGGGAGACAAGATAAAAAGACAATTTGTCTTAACAGAAACGAATTCGTACAAAACGCTCAATTAAAGCAGACTGATCGATGGTCAGTGAGTAATCTTGTAAACATAGCCCAAAACTCTAATAAACAAACTTTTTCTTTCGCAACTGGCGATAATGGGTGTTAAACCATAATTTTCCTTTTTGATTCGTACTACCTTTTTTGTGTTCAGGTTAATGAACCAGATTTGTAAGTTTCGAATAAGGAAGGAATAAAACTAAATAATAAAGTTTCTTCTATCCTGTGAACAACCACCAAGCTACCCATTGGATGAACCATTAGGAATAAAATATTACAAAAAATTAATCAATTGTAAATTATAATGTAATGTATTGATAAACATCCTGTTTTAGCACAGAAAATAAAAATAAAATGAAAGTGGGGTGAGTGTGTGACGTCTGGAGAGTAAACGTAAGCTATTAGCGAGAATGGAGTGGGTTCAACCTCGCGCCGAGGAATGTACTCACTCTGGGGTGAGTGTGTGACGTCTGGAGAGTAAACGTAAGCTATTAGCGAGAATGGAGTGGGTTCAACCTTGCTCCCGAGGAATATAGAGATGATATCGACGTAGTGTATATATAAAAGCAGAGAGTCATAACCAGATCGAGACGTTCAAATGGCTGCAGTTTAAAACGAAATGAGCGTGAAAGACCAGAAAGAGAAGGAAAACACGCAGAGGGCCGGCGTTGACCTGAGCTGTTTGACGGCTCATGAGCCTCCAACTTTATCATTATTTAATGACATCATGAACTTGCATATTAGCCAGAATACGATTCCGTTGATTGTTTCATAATATATAGTTGGGGGGGGGGGAGCATGAAAAAGGGCCAGAGGCGGCGGTGGGAATCGAACCCACACATATTAATACATTACATTATAATTTATAATTAATTGGTCCTTATTTAAAACAGGCCACCTGCAAGTTTGTACGTCTTTTCCTGGTCTTTCACACGCATTTTGTTTTAAACTGCGGCCATTTGAAGGTGTTGATACATATCAAGACCTCCTGACTCTGCTTTTTACGTATTCTATGTCGATATCCTGCTGTCCACTGCTCGACAAAAAAAGTGGTGCACTTTGAAATTTTGATATTTTTTTATGTACTTCCTTTTAAATAATATTAAAAAAATATCTCTCAAAAGCCAAAAAATTAATTGAAAAAATTATTTTTGTGTATGAACATAAAATATTATAAAACAAACTTATTAATTTTTAATAGGGTGAATTACCTCATCTTGCTCTCATTACACACTTTAAACTTCTCAGCACGCTCCCAATTTTACCACTTTTTGAGTAATGTCATCCCAAATCTCAACATACTTTCAGCTCAGCTAAGGCTGTAGTTGGGTTATTTCTTCGTTTTACCGAACGTCCGAGCTTGTCCCAAAAGTACTCAATGTGGTTCAAATCAGGAATACGGACTGGCAGTCTTGATGCAAATGTTAAAGATACTGCATAACACTGGTGGCGACAGTTGGTTATTGTTGGTTGCATTATCTTGCATAAACAAAAATTGCTCGCCAATAAACGGAGCAAAAGGCATCACACATTCCTCAAGAATTTCTATTTAATTCGTAGATTTTTGTATTAAGTGACGGCCTATTAAAAATGTGTAATTCCGTTTTTGCTTTCAAAAGAATTTCACTTTTCCTTCCTAGGGATGTGGAAGCCATTTGAACTCAGTAGACTCACTTCGGCAAGTTTCCTTCTTACTGTTTCAGCGCTAACGGACACATCGGCACAGTTGGAAGTCAATGAGACGTTTCAGAAGCAATGTAAAACCGATGTCTCAGAGTGTGAAATCCGATTAATCGGTCACCAGCTCGTCCTTGTGCTCTTAGGGGCTTGGGCGTCCCAATCCTGGTCTCCGGGTACACCTTGCAATCTCCTGGTACCATTAAAAACCCGACAACCGTCGTTTTAGGCATATCTAAAACTCTTGCAGCGTAACGCTCATTTCTTCCATCCTTAACGAGTGCAATGGCACAGGCAACTTTTTCTCTGATTTTGCATATTTTTGTAATAGTTTTGTTTTGTGCCACCAGCACAATAATGAATGAAGACATTCTTAAAGGATTAAATGCCCTTGTTGATGATTGACATTGTGG